ACAGGAACTGAGGAGCCCGCCAACCGCGGCTCCACATCTGGAACAGGAGAGACCACCGACAGTGGCTCCACATCCGGAACATGAGAAACCACCGACTGTGGTTCCGCCTCAGGAACTGGGGAGGCCACCGACTGTGACTCCACCTCAGGAACAGGAGACACCACCGACTGTGGCTCTACCTCAGGAACTGGGGAGGCCACCGACTGTGGCTCCACCTCAGGAACAGGAGACACCACCGACTGTGGTTCTACCTCAGGAACTGGAGAAAACACAGACCGTGGCTCCGTCTCAGGAACAGGGGAGAACACCCATGGAGGCTCATGTTCAGTCTCAGAGGTGGTTTGAAGCGTCTGTAGAGAGGTCTTGGTGGTTTGTGGACCCTGCTGAGAGGCTATTGGAGGCACATCTTCACCAACTCCGAACTCTGAAGCCAACTTAAGTTTATGCTCAGGGGTCTCTGGATGGCATAGGGCAGACTCAGGGGTCTCTGGACGGCACAGGGCAGGCTCAGGGGTCTCTGGACAGCACAGGGCAGGCTCAGGGGTCTCTGGACGGCACAGAGCTGACCCAGGGGTCTCTAGACTGCACAGAGCTGACTTAAGGCGACGCCGTTTCTTACGCCGAGGGGTCTTTGGAGCTGAGCTAACTGGTTTGTTTACTGATTCTGGCAACAAGTTAACGTGTTGAAAAATTAGAGTTCCAGAACGGATTACTGGTTCAGAGGCTAGAGAATCAGGCAAGGGAACAGGTTTAGAAACGTAGGTGACTGGTTCAGGTGTCTGATCAGGCTGGTGCGGAACTCTAACAGTTTGAGATGTAACTTGTGGGCCTATTTTGAGTCCTTTAATAGACGGAGCTAAGTGACGATCGCGTAAAAGAGAGCTGAGACTAACCTGGCGCAGAACGGAGCTGGATCTGGTTTGTAGTTCAATGTCTAGCCCAATAGCTAGCTCTATGAGGTCCTCCAAGTTAGCTGGCTCATCGTAAAAAGCTAGCTCGTTTCTGACTGGTTCATTCAGAGCTAGGAGATAAGCAGTTTTGAGCGCAGACTCGTTCCACCCAGAAACGGCTGCTTTAACCCGGAAATCAAAGGAAAATTCGGCAACGGATCTATCTCCCTGTTTTGTTTCAAAAAGTTCACCAGAAACGATGGACTTATTTGAGACTCGGTTAAAAGGCCTTTCAAAATCCTGAATGAATTTCTCATAGGTACAGTTAACTCTAATTTTAGGCAGAAATCTGGTCTCCGCCCATTCAAGGGCTTCACCGGACAGAAAAGAAAAGACAAAAGCTATTCTATCCTTATCATAAAGAAAACTAGAATCATGAAATCCAAAAAATAACTGACACTGAAATAGAAATCTCCTGAGCTTACTTGGATTGCCGGAAAATCTCTCAGGCAGAGAAGGGCTGAGTGCAGAAAACGACGGGCTGGGTTCTGACCAGAAAGGAAGATTATTATCTTGACTGGGAAGTGACGTCATTGCCGGTGACCTAGGAAACGGAAGTGGATTCGGAGCAGGACGTGCCGCTGACGTGGCATTACCATTAACCAAGTGGCTAGCGAATGTTTGATTCAGCTGTAACTCACGGAGGGTTTGTGTATGTCCATGGATCTGAGCGTCCCGTTCCTCAATCCACCGACGGAGGTGATCTGTTGGGCTTTGTGTTTGGCCGCAGTGTTCTGTCATGATGGGTCTCTGAGTTAAGCCCAAAATGCAGAACACACACGGAAACGGGGTAAAAGTTAAACAGAGTTTATTGAAGCACAAACACGAGGATCATAAATGAGTTCTGAAACAGGGTTGGGCTGGTTAACTGAAGTCTTGACTGGGACTGGAGACTGTTGGTTAGCAGAGTTCATGTGAAGCTAAGCATCTAGCTTCAGGCTTAGCATAGCAGACCTTGATCTGAGCTTCCAGCTCACTGCAGAGAACAACAGGGATCATCCACATAGGATTCTTCAGGGTGATTCCACATAGGAACCTTCAGGTTGGCTCACCAGGGCAGATCAGCAGGTTAAGCTCTCCTAGAGCTTCAGGCTTGAGACTGGTTCCTGTGATGCAGCTCNGCGTTATTGCTTTGTAGAACAGTTATCCTGCATATGGTTCATAAAATAAAGAAAAATGAACATTCAAACTGTCATGATGGCCGACGGCCGAGGGACCGGCAGCGGGACAGAGTGTCAGGTGGCCGGCCGAGGGACCGGCAGCGGGACAGAGTCTCGGGTGGCCGGCCGAGGAACCAGCAGCGGAGGCGTAGCAGATGCTCAGGCCGACCACGGGGCTGGGGAGGAAGCAGCGTCTTAGGGGGACCACCGCCGGGCCGGAGGGATGGCAGAGGTTCTGGGGGCCGGCCGAGGATCCGGTAACGGAGCAGAGTCTTAGGTGGCCGGCTGCGGGGTCGGAGGCGAAGATGACGCTCCGGGGGTCTGCCGCGGGGCCGAAGGCGAAGCCGACGCTCCGGGGTTCTGCTGAGAAGCAGCTTCTCAGGAGGATGACGCCCAAACTTCAGCAGGTACCCCCACGGGGTAACCGTCCCCTCCTCGGCAGCTCAGGAACAGGCTCAGTAGTGACCGCCGACTGCGGCTCTGGAGTAGGCTCTGAGGAGACCGTCGATTGCGGCTCTGGGTCTGGAACAGGAGAGCCCGCCGATTGCGGCTCTGGGTCTGGAACAGGGGAGCCCGCCGATTGCGGCTCTGGGTCTGGAACAGGGGAGCCCGCCGATTGCGGCTCCCGGTCAGGAACAGGGAAGCCCGCCGATTGCGGCTCCCGGTCAGGAACAGAGGAGCCCGCCGATTGCGGATCAGGAACAGGGAGGACCACCGACCGAGTCCCAGGAACAGGCCCACAGGAGTCCGCCACCTGGGGCTCCTGGACAGGAACTGAGGAGCCCGCCGACCGCGGCTCCACATCTGGAACTGGGGAGGCCACCGACCGTGGCTCCAACTCAGGAACTGGGGAGGCCACCGACTGTGGCTCCACCTCAGGAACAGGAGACACCACCGGCTATGGTTCCACCTCAGGAACAGGAGACACCACCGACTGTGGTTCCACCTCAGGAACTGGAAGGACCACCGACTGTGGCTCCACCTCAGGAACAGGAGACACCACCGGCTATGGTTCCACCTCAGGAACAGGAGACACCACCGACTGTGGCTCCACCTCAGG